TGTTTGTCCTGCTGGTGGAGGCCGACCACGACACAAACTGTAAGATCAAATCCAATCTGATCAATAATACATTAACACTTTGACAAATCTAAATCATCATAAAAAACTATACATATATAAAATGTGAAAATCTGATCATTAATTATTTGCATATTAATATAATGTATAACTTGATCAAATACAAATATGTTGGACAATGTGTTTAAAAATCAGATCAAAAATAATAATAATAACGTTATTTATGTAGCAAACAGAGACATACAATATATCAAAAACTTAAACACAAAATATCGTAAGAACATCATCAAACATCGTGACAACATCATAAGACTATCATAAAACATTATGAGGACATTGTAAAAACATCCTAACAACATTATACAAACATCATAAGAACATCACATGAACATCGTACATCGTACGAACATTGTAAAAGAAGAGACCTTAAAGGAAGTGATCTTAAAGGGAAGTGACCTTAAAGAGAAGTGACCTTAAAAAAGAGAAGTGACCTCAATAAAGGGAAGTGACCTTAAAGAGAAGTGACCTCAATAAAGGGAAGTGACCTTAAAAAAGAGAAGTGACCTTAAAGAGAAGCGACCTCAATAAAGGAAGTGACCTTAAAGAGAAGTGACCTTAAAAAAGAGAAGTGACCTCAATAAAGGAATGACCTTAAAAGAAGTGACCTCAATAAAGGAATGACCTCAATAAGGGAAGTGACCTTAAAGAGAAGTGACCTTAAAAAGAGAAGTGACCTCAATAAAGGAAGTGACCTTAAAAAAGGGAAGTGACCTTAAAGGAAGTGACCTTAAAGAGAAGTGACCTCAATAAAGGGAAGTGACCTTAAAAAAGGAAGTGACCTTAAAGGGAATGACCTAAAGAGAAGTGACCTCAATAAAGGGAAGTGACCTTAAAAAGAGAAGTGACCTTAAAGGGAAGTGACTTAAAGAAGTGACCTCAATAAAAGGGAAGTGACCTTAAAAAAGGGAAGTGACCTTAAAGAGAAGTGACCTTAAAAAAGAGAAGTGACCTCAATAAAGGAAGTGACCTAAAGAGAAGTGACCTCAATAAAGGAAGTGACCTTAAAGAGAAGTGACCTTAAAAAAGAGAAGTGACCTCAATAAAGGGAGACCTTAATAAAAGGAAGTGACCTTAATAAAGGGAAGTGACGTTAAAGAAGTGGCCTTAATAAAGGGAGTGACCTTAAAAAAGAGAAGTGACCTCAATAAAGAGAAGTGACCTTTAAGAGAAGCAAACTTTAAAAAATAGAGTGACCTTAAAAAAAGAGAAGGGACCTTAAGAGAAGTGACCTGAATAAAGAAGTGACCTTAAAGAGAATATCCTTAAAAAAGAGAAGTGACCTTAAAAAAAGAAGGACCTTAAAGAGAAGTACCTCAATATAGGGAGGTGACCTTAAAGAGAAGTGACCTCAATTAAGGGAATGACTTAAAGAGAAGTGACCTTAAAAAAGAGAAGTGACCTTAAAGAGAAATGACCCAAATAGGGAGTGACCTTAAAGAGAAGTGACCTCAATAAAGGGAAGTGACCTTAAAGAGAAGTGACCTTAAAAAAGAGAAGTGACCTTAAAGAGAAATGACCTTAACGAGAAGTGACCTCAATAAAGGGAAGTGACCTTAAAAAGAAAGTGACCTTAAAAAAGAGAAGTGACCTTAAAGAGAAGTGACCTTAAGAGAATGACCTCAAAAGGAAGTGACCTTAAAGAAGTGACCTTAAAAAAGAGAAGTGACCTTAAAAAAGAAATGACCTTAACGAGAAGTGACCTCAATAAAGAAGTGACCTTAAAAAAGAAAGTGACCTCAATAAAGGAAGTGACCTTAAAGAGAAGTGACCTCAATAAAGGGAAGTGACCTTAAAGAGAAGTCTCCTTAAAAAATGGAAGTAACTTAAAGAGAAGTGACCTTAAGAAAGAGAAGTGACCTCATAAAGGAAGTGACCTTAAAGAGAAGTGACCTCAATAAAGATAAGTACCTTTAAGAGAAGTGACCTTAAAGAGAAGCAACCTTAAAAATAGAGGTGACCTAAAAAAGAGAAAGACCTTAAAGAGAAGTGACCTAATAAAGGGAAGTGACGTTAAAGGGAAGTGACCTTAAAAAAGAGTGACCTCAATAAAGAGAAGTGACCTTTAAGAGAAGTGACCTTTAAGAGAAGTGACCTTAAAGAGAAGTGACCTTAATAAAGGGAAGTGACGTTAAAGGGAAGTGACCTTAAAAAAGAAAAGTGACCTCAATAAAGAGAAGTGACCTCAATAAAGGGAAGTGACCTTAAAGAGAAGTGACCTCAAAAAGGGAAGTGACCTTAAAGAGAAGTTCCTTAAAAAATGAAGTGAACTTAAAGAGAATGACCTTAAAAAGAGAAGTGACCTCAATAAAGAAGTGACCTTAAAGAGAAGTGACCTCAATAAGATAAGTGACCTTTAAGAGAAGTGACCTTAAAGAGAAGCAACCTTAAAAAATAGAGTGACCTTAAAAAAGAGAAAGGACCTTAAAGAGAAATGACCTAATAAAGGGAAGTGACGTTAAAGGAAGTGACCTTAAAAAAGAGAAGTGACCTTAAAGAGAAGTGACCTAATAAAGGAAGTGACCTTAACGAACTGACCTCAATAAAGGAAGTGACCTTAAAAAAGAGAAGTGACCTTAAAGGAAGTGACCTTAAAGAGAGTGACCTCAATAAAGGAAGTGACCTTAAAGAGAAGTGACCTTAAAAAATGAGAATGACCTTAACGAGAAGTGACCTCAATAAAGGGAAGTGACCTTAAAAAAGAGAAGTGACCTCAATAAAGGAAGTGACCTTAAAGAGAAGTGACCTCAATAAAGGGAAGTGACCTTAAAGAGAAGTCTCCTTAAAAAATGAAGTGAACTTAAAGAGAAGTGACCTTAAGAAAGAGAAGTGACCTCAATAAAGGGAAGTGACCTTAAAGAGAAGTGACCTCAATAAAGATAAGTGACCTTTAAGAGAAGTGACCTTAAAGAGAAGCAACCTTAAAAAATAGAGGTGACCTTAAAAAAGAGAAAGGACCTTAAAGAGAAGTGACCTTAATAAAGGAAGTGACGTTAAAGGGAAGTGACCTTAAAAAAGAGAAGTGACCTCAATAAAGAGAAGTGACCTTTAAGAGAAGTGACCTTAAAGAGAAGTGACCTTAATAAAGGAAGTGACCTCAATAAAGGGAAGTGACCTTAAAGAGAAGTGACCTCAATAAAGGAAGTGACCTTAAAGAGAAGTCTCCTTAAAAAATGGAAGTGAACTTAAAGAGAAGTGACCTTAAGAAAGAGAAGTGACCTCAATAAAGGGAAGTGACCTTAAAGAGAAGTGACCTCAATAAAGATAAGTGACCTTTAAGAGAAGTGACCTTAAAGAGAAGCAACCTTAAAAAATAGAGGTGACCTTAAAAAAGAGAAAGGACCTTAAAGAGAAGTGACCTTAATAAAGGGAAGTGACGTTAAAGGGAAGTGACCTTAAAAAAGAGAAGTGACCTTAAAGAGAAGTGACCTTAATAAAGGGAAGTGACCTTAAAGAGAACTGACCTCAATAAAGGGAAGTGACCTTATTAAAGGGAAATTACCAAGTTAAAAGATAAAATAAGCAAAAAGTAGAAGATGTAGAAGAAGACCGTGTTTTATTATCAGATTAAAATGTGTGGGTTTCCACATAAATCAAATACAGCACATAAAACTTAATTTATTCTGTTCACAGACGCTGAAATACAAGTGTGACGACTGGTAAAACACCTTCCTATCTGTGTGTCTGTGTGTGTGTCTGTGTGTCTGTGTGTCTGTCTGTCTGTCTGTCTGTGTTACTGTTACATCTAAACAGTCTGTCCTCAAACCTGTCTGTCTTCTAACCTGTCCTTTAACCTTTCTGTTTATTAACCTGTCTTTTTCTAATGAGTCCATTGACTAACCTGCCTCTTCTTTATCTTGTCTGTCCTCTAATCTGTTTCTCCTAAGATAAAGACACAACATCCAGTGAAGCCCCAACAGGTATGTTTCCGAGTGAAGAGACTACCTCTCCACAGAGTTAAATTTTCCATATATATATGGGGACTGACCAAGTGTGGCAGTTGACGTGGATACTTCCTTAAGACACACTACAGGGAATCATGTGCAGGTATAAAATGACCAGGTTTGCATGAAGTCACTGATTTAAATTGATTGGAACAGTTTCGAGTGGCCCGACCTTGGAGAGATAGTCTCTTCACTCAGAGAACCAAGGTTACAATTGGACCAAATGTTCTCTATCGTATCGAGACTATCTCTGCAAAGAGTTACATATTCCATATGTACATATGTATTATATGAATGAGACCAGAGTGGTTTAAACAGTGCATATAAAAACAACCTTCCTGTGAACTGCTATTTACAAATATGCAAACATACAAATATACACCTCCCACATTCATCACCAGTCGCTGCATGTTGCTGCCTGCAGCTACCCTGAAAGACGCAATGGTTGGATGTGAGAGGATAGAGACCACTCAGCCGCTAAGAAGGCCCCATCACAGTTAGACCCACTAACATGGGGTTAAAGACATCCCTTGCGGCCAGACCAAGATGGGCCCATTACCACAGGAATAGAGTAAATAATATGTCTAATTAGTAGTAAAGCACCTGTTCTTGTGCCTGTAGACACATTCAGGCAGTAAAATCCGATAAATGTACACAAGCATGTTGCAGCATACTTACCTTTTGAGATGTTGGCAGGTCGGACTGGCCACCTGGCATGCAGGTCCCTGTGGCCTCATCCCAGGCACAGAAGAGACCTCTGTACATCAATTTGGAGATCCACAAGGGGCCTCCACATGCACAAGGCTACAGGAGGCAGCACTAGGCTCGGGAGGGCATGATGTCAGGACTGAGACGTGGGCTGGGGTGGTCCCTGGCCAGCATAGCAGAGGGGTCTACAGGTAGTCTGAGTAGACCTGCCCTATCCTTCTGCTGCAGCACTGACTGTGACAACCATAGGTGACGTCTAACTGTCCTGTCATGGCCTTACCAGCCTCCTCTGCTTCTTCCCTCATTGGCTTAGGAAGAAGTGAGGAGACCTGCTGTAGCTCTGTCAGCAGTTCCGTACCCGACTCTTCCTGCAGCTGCTGAGTGAAATGTTATAGATAAAGAGCCAATATGACTCATATGTACCACCTGGGTCTGGACCACCATTGCCCCATGCATTTTGGTAAACAAGGCATCCATTATTCTGCCATTCTTGCTAGGTCAGCCACCCTTCCCGAAAACTGAGTAAGAAGGAGACACCAGGGCTGTTAGGGCCGGGTCCACAGGATGTAATGGCCACAGCCTATCCTCTCCCAATAATGTACCGCCACTTTGCATCTACAAAGTGAAGACCAGGGACTAGCACCTGCCTCCAGTGTCTGAAACTGCTGTCGAACTAGAAAAGGTATCTTAGGGTGAGTGAACCGATCCCCAGCCCTGCATCAAAGCGGGAGGGCCCAGACCCCTGATCAGATGGCATCTCCAAATTTAGAGCTCTACATATAATGTCAAAGGGGGAAGTGCTCATGGCTCACGTTTCCACAAGACTTCCTCATGCTGTCCCAAGGGGAACAAATCATCCTCCTCGGGGGGGGGGCACTAAAGTGAGTATACCAACCTCCCCTTATCACTTGGGGAAGAGGAGCAGTCTCTCACAGCTGCCTAAGCCCTGAAAACTCCCCTGGTAGGGGATCAGGGGCCAGAGGAGTGCTGCCCTTGAGCAAACTATCCAGTTGGGGCTGCAAGCCATCTTTACCCGCCAGAGCAGCAGACCTAGCGCGCTTGGCTGGCTGCGGTCCCCGGGCAGGAGGGTGTGGCTATTTTCCGAGCCTATGATAGCTTGCTGTCGTGCTGACATACTAAACCAAATCATACACAAGGATGGATTATCCCTCCCTGTCAGCGCACATTCAGCACCTTAACAGAGCACACAATAGTCATGGCCATTCTGCTCACACATGTCACGCTCTCACAGTAGAAATCACTGAATCAGTGAGTTCATGCACACCTGGGCATTTTTATATCTGTGCATAGGCCATGTTGTGGTGTGTCCTAAAGAAGTATCCACGTCAACTGCCCTAGTGGGTCAGGCCGAGAATAATATTTAACCCTGTGGAGAGATAATCTAGATACTATAGAGAACAGGGTACAGTCTGTGTTACTGATGTCACAGTTTGTGTTACTGGTGTTACAGTTTTTACTGATGTTAGCGTGTTACTGATGTCACAGTTTGTGTTACTGATGTTAGTTTGTAACTGATGTTACAGTTTGTTACTGATGTTACATTTTGTGTTACTGGTGTTACAGTTTGTTACTGATGTTACAGTTTGTGTTACTGATGTTACAGTTTGTTACTGATGTTACAGTTTTTGCTGGTATTACAGTTTGCTGGTATTACAGTTTGTTGCTGGTGTTACAGTTTCTTACTGATGTTAGTATGTTACTAGTGTTACAGTTTGTTACTGATGTTACAGTTTGTCACTGGTGTTACAGTTTGTTACTGATGTTAGTGTGTTACTGATATTACAGTTTGTTACTGGTGTTACAGTTTGTGACTGATGTTACAGTTTGTGACTGATGTTACAGTTTGTTACTGATATTACAGTTTGTGACTGATGTTACAGTTTGTTACTGATATTACAGTTTGTGACTGATGTTACAGCTTGTTACTGGTGTTACAGTTTGTTACTGATGTTACAGTTTGTTACTGATATTACAGTTTGTTACTGGTGTTACAGTTTGTTACTGGTGTTACAGTTTGTTACTGATGTTACAGTTTGTGACTGATGTTACAGTTTGTTACTCATGTTACAGTTTGTTACTGATGTTATATATTTATGTACAATATATATTGATTGATGGATTGATACGTTTATTTGTTCGTTTCAGAACCTGCAGTTACTGCTGCAAACAGTTCGGAGAAAGACAATGGTGAGATATGTTTGAGTTATTAGAATTTATGCATTTCATACAAATTAAACCCCTAAATAGTGTGACGTTGTTTAAAAATGCTAATAAAAACAGAATGTGATACATTGTAAAACATGTTCGCCCTTTATTAAGACAACATATCAAATGTGCAAACATTAGAATTTGATGTCAGCATATATATATATGTTTATATACTGTATATTCATGGTTTTCAAAACATAAAACCTTTATTTAAAGAGGAGGAAACAATTGAGTAAATGTCTTTTTCAAGAGTGTCCTGGTCGAGACGGGGGAAGCTCCGGTATAATAGTAATAAAAGTGCTTCATTTGTTATTCTCCAGAGGATGAAAGCTTCGACTCTGATGAAGGAGGAAAGAAAAACTTCAGGGCTAAATCTCAGATTCCAGCCCACAATCCAAGCCCTGCCCACAATCCAAGCTCTGCCTTCCCTCATCAGCCAATTATTCCTCAGCCTAAATCTGCTGTGAGGAACCGAACGTCCAAGAGGCGATCCAGGACCAACCGCCGCCAGATCTAACACACATACACACACACACACATCTAAACACACACACACACACACACACACACACACATTTGTGGTATGCTTTGTGGTCTGATTGGTCATCTGCAGGCGTGACATGTGTCCAGGAGCCTTTTTGAATTAAACTCTAAAAGTTTGACGTGTTTGAAATCAGATGAAATTGTTATCAATCATTGATACCAATATTCAATCGATATATGAATGACTTCATCCTCCTGGACTCCTGCAAACAGATTTCTATCAGCTCAGTTTTTTTTTTCCAAGTTCATATTTGTAAACAATGACACAATAAGATGTTGTATGTAAACTTTTCCATGTTGAAATAAAGTTTAGCTGAACATGACCTCTGAACTCTAAAACGCTGTCCCTTTTTCAGCTGCAAATTATTGTTTAGATTTTGCTCTACAACGCAAAGGCTCTAAGACGTCCTCAAGCTGTGCCGCCACTCCTCCCCGACTGACTAAAATAAAAACACAAATGCTCAACAACAAGCTTGGGCTACCTGCCATTCCTCCCCGCCACTCCTCCTCAACTGACTTCTATAAAAACGTGAAGGCTCTACAACACGCTTGAGCTGCCCGCCGTTACTCCCCTACCGACTAAAATAAAAAGTGAAGGCTCTACGACATGTTCCAACTGCTGGCGCCCGGGTTAGTCTGCATAGTCTGCTATCAGCTGAATTGGGCCACCAGAGGGTGCCACAAGCTGGCCTGATAACATAGACTCTACCTCCCATAGTACATTTAGAGACTGTAGGTAACACGAGCAGGCCTGATAACTGAAGGCTCTACCTCCTATAGTACATTTAGAGATGGTAGGTACCACAAGCAGGCCTGATAACTGAAGGCTCTACCTCCCACAGTACATTTAGAGACCGTAGGTAACACAAGCAGGCCTGATAACTGAGGGCTCTACCTCCCATAGTACATTTAGAGATGGTAGGTACCAAGAGCAGGCCTGATAACTGAAGGCTCTACCTCCCATAGTACATTTAGAAATGGTAGGTACCACGAGCAGGCCTGATAACTGAAGGCTCTACCTCCCATAGTACATTTAGAAATGGTAGGTACCACGAGCAGGCCTGATAACTGAAGGCTCTACCTCCCATAGTACATTTAGAGACTGTAGGTATCACGAGCAGGTCTGATAACTGAAGGTTCTACCTCCCATAGTACATTTAGAGACTGTAGGTACCACGAGCAGGTCTGATAACTGAAGGCTCTACCTCCCATAGTACATTTAGAGACCGTAGGTACCACGAGCAGGTCTGATAACTGAAGGCTCTACCTCCCATAGTACATTTAGAGACCGTAGGTACCACGAGCAGGCATGCATTTAGGGAATATGATGTTCGAGAGGGGTAATAAGGCACTATGAACTCAAGGTGACCATTAGTTTAAGTGTTATTGTTGTTATAACTCCAGTATAATCAAACAGCTGTGTGTGATAGTCATTACTTGAAGTAGAATAATTTTCATAAAGAGTTTTTTTTTTTAAAGGAAAATAAAATGGAATCATTTTCATAATTAACTCTGGTCTGCTCTGAATATGAACACACTGGTTGTTATAAATAAGGGTTGTATAAAGCTGACACAGAAACAGAGTTTTTTTAAAGTGCACTTCCAGGTGTTCAAACTAAACTGAAAAAAAGCTCATTATAGGCTATTAGAATGCTAACACACGCACACACCAGTAACAAACAGACAGATTTATTTCACTCTTTGTCTTTTGTTTTCTGTCCCCAGCTGAACTCCCACAACAATCCACTTTTCAGGTTTACCCATGTTTTCAACCCCAAACCCTCAGTTGTTTACCCACAGATGAACTATTCATAAATTAACAGTGCAGTGAGCAGAACTTATCCTTTGATCAATAAAAGAACCGCTAACAGCTCTGTTCAGCTATAAAAAAGTACAGCTAACAGCTCTGTTTATCTAAAAATTACCATTAACAACTCTGTTCATCTATAAAAATTTCCGCTAAAAGCTCTGTTCATCTTAAAATGTACCACTAACACCTCTGTTTATCTACAAAAAGTACAGCTAACAGCTCTGTTCAGCTTCACTGGCCTGCCTCTGGACTCTTTGTGTTAAGATTTGACAAACCAGTTCTTGACTGAATGACATAGCTCACCCACCAACACACACACAGGAATGTACATATTCTGTTATTTCCTTGTAGTAAGCGATCTGGTGCGGTTTAGTCTCAACCAGAGATGAACCTGTAACAGGTAAAGTTGTACAGTTTGACCTGCAGTGAGATCAGAATCCCTCTCCTTTCTTTGCTTTGTGTTGCATTTAAATCTCTTCCATAATTTATTTCATTTATTTTTATTTCATAGCAGCAGACGTTTTACCCGCACGATGACAAAGAGTCGATTTAGACCTGCTGCTTTAGTAACGTGTCTCAGGATACCGTTTTCATATATTTATATAAACAAAGATGGGTTGATTGATTGATAAGGAATGATGATATATCCTGTATGAATCTGAGAATATACCACAGCTAACAGCAGCTTGAAAATGCTCCTTTTATGTCATCATCTTAATGATATTTAAAATATTAATCATACAAACCTGAGGGTACTTCATTATACTTTTATACTTCCACATTAATACAACACGTTTGTTTGTTTGTGAACTGGTTCTTTCTCTTATTTTAAACACACCTTTCTTTATAAAGTGTGTTCATTAACCAATCCTGATTAAATGTGTCATTCATTTAGTGTCAATGATGAAACTCAAGAACAACTTCTAGAAGCAGCTGTCATCTGCTTGTTTCTAAACTGGATATGTCACTGGAGTTAACCTGAGTGTGGGTGTTTAGACAGGTGTAGCAGGAGGAGGAGGAGGAAGAGAGAGGAGGAGGAGGAGGGGGAGGAGGAGCAGGAGGAGGAAGGGGGGAGGAGCAGGAGGAAGAGGAGAGGAGGAGGAGGGGAGAGGGAGGAGGAGCGGAGGAGGAGGAGGAAGAGAAGAGAGGAGGGTCTGGTCATAAAAAGCTGCGTCCCTGTGCAGCTGAGTTCAGAAACTCAAAACAGCCGAGTGTCTTCCCTGTTAGTGACATCATGTTCATACGGTGAGTTCTTCTTCTTCCTCTAACCTTAACTCCTCGTCACGTTTGTCAAACTTTGTAGTTCAACAAAGTTCACAGAAACTAGAAGAACAGGAATTAGTTTTTTGTGTAAGATAGAAGACGTGAGATGTTTTTTTAAGTTTGATGATGAATTTTTTGCTCAATTTGACTCTAATGATGTCTAAATACTTTGACGACACTGCTCATGTCTCGTCATTATCTTGTTGCGTTAATTCTTTGAACACATAATTGATCGTGTACTGTCTATTGTCTACTAATGATAAAATAGCTCATTTATAAAGTGTAAGATATTGTCTTTTAAAGAAGGAAGTACATGTTTGCTGGTATTTGTCTATTCTGGCTCAGTGCATGTCTGCAGCTCTCGAAGCGTGCAGCTTTTGTTTCAGGCTCTGGTCTGTATAAATCCTAAGCCTGTGGTCTGTAGAAACCAGCAGAAGGGCTTCAGTGTTTCAGCATAAAGCAGCAGTCTTCTCGGCTTTTCACCTGACACTCGACTCTCGTCATGAACCTTAAAGCTTTTGTGTCTCTTTGAGGATCTGAGCGGCTTTGCTCCTGCGCTCGTATCTCTCCATACGTTAGAAAAGAACAGATGCTTTGTTCTGATTTTTTTTCTTTGGAGGGAATACAAAGAAACAAAGTCGTTAACCTTTGAGGCTGAAGACGGGTCTCACCTGATAGCTTCTTCACACACCTTAAATTCATCAGTTTTATCTGACCCTTTACATTCTTTACATCTGACCCTTAAAATTCTTTACACTCTTTACATCTGACCCTTTACATTCTTTAAATCTCACCCTTTACATTATTTACACTCTTTACATCTGACCCTTTACATTCTTTACATCTCACCCTTTACATTCTTTACATCTCACCCTTTACATTCTTTACACTCTTTACATCTGACCTTTACATTCCTTACATCTCACCCTTTACATTCTTTACACTCTTTACATCTGACCTTAACATCCTTTAAATTCTTAACACTCTTAATGTTCCCTTTACATTCTTTACACTTTTACATCTGACCTTTACATTCTTTACATCTGACCTTTACATTCTTAACCTCTGACCTTTACATTCTTAACATCTGACCCTTTACAGCTTTACATTTTTACATCTCACCCTTTACATTCTTTACATTCCTGACACTCTTTACATCTGACCTTACATCTTTACATCTGACTTTTAATTTTACATCTGACCTTTACATTCTTTACATGCTTTACATTCCTACATCTCACCCTTTACACTCTTTAAACTCTTTACATCTGACCTTTACATTCTTACATCTGACCCTTTACATTCTTCACATTCTTTACAAGTCACCCTTACATTCTTTTACTTTCTTTACTCTCTTTACA